ATTGAAGTTCCCGAATGTATTGGGAATTGCTTGGTTTGGTTTGATTGCTTGACTCGAATTGGGTCGTACTAAAGGTGTTGGAACTGATGTAGGAATTAGTATCGGAACGGATTTGTTTGTTAAAAGGGATGATTGAAGAATTGGTTTATTGAAGTTGGATATTTATACAATTGAAGCGAAATAGCGAATAGGCGTTTCTCAAACTTGGGCGATTAAGCCGTAACTAAACTGTGACTGAAAGAATCTCTCGTCTGAGCTAAACTCAGACCTTATATAGTGATGTGAGTTGTAAGAATACAATACATTGGGACGGGGTCAATATGATAATTATCCACATGAGGATTGGTGAGGTCAATGAGATATTGGATATGCCGAAAGGAATATGAATGATATGAGATAAATCATGTAATTGACATAACGAAAAATTATAATGATGGGAAAACCTCAAGTACGGTAACTAATTGGATTGTTCAGTGCAGAAATTATTTTTAGTGGAATTTCGAGCTTGTTCTCGACAAAAAGTTACAGAAATTAGGGCCAATCAGAGGCCTTACTTTCTATATCAAAGGTGTGATTTGTTTCAGATAAAAATGAAATAACATCTTTTAAACACGCTCTCAATTTACGAAGGTGGCCTACAAAGATTTACTTAGCTTTAAAATTTTTTAAGAAATTTTATTACTATAGCCGGTTCCATACGAAAGTGGATTAAGTGGAGAAGGTTTGGTGCCAGGCAAATCGCTGCTTATTTTTGCAACACCGGAAAAGAAAGGGAAACGTTTCCATATCAATCTACTCAAAAAAAATGGTGATATTGCACTTCACTTCAATCCTCGATTCGATGAAAAGGTTTTTTTTTTATTCTCGCGTGAGAGAGGGAGAAGGGGAAAGGGGCAAATGCTTTTCCAAAATTTAGAAACAGAAATGAAAAACGAAAAATTGGTATATTCACATATCGGAAATAAAAATGTTAATTTATTTGTTCTTCGCAAGCGTCGTTTGATTATGCTTAATGTATTTTTATTAATATGTACCCAAGTTTATATCTGCTTGATATATTTTTATTAATATATACCAAAGTTTATATCTGTAAAATAAAATGGTACAGCAACTGAAACCAGTTGGCTGGGATTGTCCCAAATTATCTTTAACGGGACTAATAATAGAGAACTTAAAATCTTAGGAATTCATATATTTTTAATAATTTTGAAAGCTTTTTGAAGTTGAAAGAAATCATGAAAATAGTAGTTGAACAACCAGGAATTGTTTTTTCAACTTTCAAAATTTTTTTATGAATGAAAAAAATTTTAATTTGTAAACCGTTTTTCGCTTTGATCAACTTTTGCTCTTCATTTTGATATGATATATGCTTATATGAAAATATCATAATAGAATAATACAAATTCATTTTTAGGCGATAGTTCGTAATTCGCTGATTGCTGGTGAATGGGGTAACGAGGAACGTGAAGGAAAAATGATTCTTGAAAAAGGGATTGGTTTTGATTTAGAAATCAAAAACGAGGAATACGCCTTCCAGGTTCTGTCTTTCATTTACAATTTGAAACAAAATTGCCGAAGTTAATTATAACAGATAATATAAATTCTTACACTAACTGGTTAATAAGAGTTGATATATTTGTCATGTATTAAAAAGTTCATATGAAGCTCTACTCAGTGTTATCTAGAAGCACAAAAAAGTTAGTATTTTAATCTTCGATTTTTGAGATGTTAGAATTTTGAGCAACAGCTACAAAATACGCATGAACAATGGAATTTAGTGAAATGATTAAATTAATCTTTTAATTTCCAGATATTTGTTAACAGCGAACGATATGCAACATATGCTCATCGCTTGGATCCTCATGAAATCAACGGTCTTCAAATTGGTGGCGATCTAGAAGTGAGCGGTATCCAAATGCGCTAAAACAGATTTGCAACAGCAGCAAAATTTTCTTTTAAAATATTTTAACGCCAAAATCGCCCTAACTGTTTCTTGACAAAGAATTTTCCAGGAAAAGTTAGAGTGATTTTTCTTTCTCAATGTGGTGGAAATGTCAGTCTTCCGGTTTTTTAAAAGTTGTAGTTTAGGGATGCATAAACTTCTTCAATCGAATAAATTAGAGTTAAACTTTTCGGTGTTAAAATCACAGCTTGACCTATGATTATTCATTATTCAGTATTCATCAGCTGCTTCAATACATTTTTCTAAGAGTGTCGAAATTGCTCGAGGAATATTTTTTTCAAAATACAGGCTCATCTTACAATTGATCTTTTTGCTTGTGGAATCAGTCACAGTGACAGTTGTATTAATTACTACTTCACTTGGCTAATTAACTGCATTTTTACGTTATTTCCGATAAAATAACTACAAATAATGCATAAGATTATTCTTATGTTTTATTCATTTCGTATATGTGGTAGGGATAGTTATCCAACTTTCGATCTTTTTTTGGATGTTAAGAATTTTCTATTGATTCCTAATTTCGCCTACAACCTATAACAACCTATAGCTTAATATAAATTTGAATCAATAGTTTTCATAATTCATTCGCACTATGTCTTTGATTTTACAAATGTATTGATTGTATGAAAAAAATTGATGTTTTTACGTGGGAGATTGCTTTACTTCTTTATCCATCGTTAAACTGACTACCACTTTTCATCATTGTTATGTCATTACCATCCTAACCTTTATATTCAGCCAACTAAAAGGTCTTCTCAATTGCTATTTAAATAGTTTTGCTTCATTTCTCATCATCTTTTGCTTGCTTTCCTGCTTTTTTCTTTTTTTTGCTTGAATAAACAAAATGACATTAAGTTGATTTTATTAGCATAATTTTGTATCACAGAAAAATTATTGAACTATAAATGTGACAAAAAAATTCATCTCTCATATCTCAAGCTTAGCTATCAAGCCTGATTTAATTGATTTAGCAAGTACTAAGGCTTGGAAATTTTTCGCAAAAGAAAATGCTTTTTTTTGCATTAAGCCATTATATTTGTGGCTGTCGGGTATATGATGAATATTATCTTTTCCCACCTATTATATCCTGATCTTTTTCTTCTCTTCCCCCTCTCTCTTTCTATCTCTATGTTTGCATAATTTTTAGTTGAAAATTATGTAATAAATGAATTTTTGTTTTATTTGCACATTTGACACTACTCCTATGATGAAAATAGAAATTTCCTGACTTCCTTCTTCACAAAGTGTTTGCTTTTAAATTAAATCTTCAGTGAAGAAAGCATGTTTTGGTCACTAAATTGAGAAGCAACTTGGAAACGTTACCGCTGTAAATTATCATTGATATATGGAATAGAGGAGCTTTTAGAATGGCAAATCAAATAAATGAGTGTAAACAAATAAGACCATACTCGTGAAACAGAAAATTGGAACTGGAAGGGATGCTATCTTTTTATCTATAAATTGATTAAAATGGGACATCTTATCGCACTAAAGCATAATCGTTATAACGAGAAGACTTGATCTATTGTTGACTTCCCCTTGAAATAGTGAATCAAAAAGTAGACATCCCTTTCATTTATAAAATGACTAGATGAAATATCATATCCGAAGACAATAATTGTCGAAATTCGAAATCATTTCGTAACACAAAATATTGCATTAAATTCATGAGAAATATTTTTAATATAAAATTATTCTGACAGTTAAATGATATATAATTTTGTTTACGAAGAAATTTTATAACGGATATGACTTAATCTATCTGGCCACCAGATTATAACTTGATCGCAAAATTACCTGTTGTTTACCTTAAATCTTTTAAGAATATTAGTCGGCTTCATCTTAAGGAAATCACAGTTCCTCCCAAGAGAATTAGTCGGATCCATCATGAGAAATTGCCGTTCCCATCAAATATTAAGATCGTAATTCACTTTGACCTTGACTTCCAACGGATATATAAAGCCACGTCTTAGTGGGAATTCAGTATTCATATTCTCACCCACTCCAGTTGTGTGTTGCTTTCATATTCATATTCGCTTCCCCATCTCTTGTTTGTATCATTAACTATCTGTCCAACCCAACAAACCACATCAGCAAGCGTGGTCTCTCACTAATCAAAATCAAAGTGTCTGGAACAAGTATTCTGGACCGGGACCCGAATCCAGAATCCAAGCCAACTCATCCGATCCTGTACGATCAACTCCCATCTCAAAGAAACACAACTAACCCTGTAATGTCAACCCAAGAAAATCTCTCCAAAAAGGAAACCTTCACCAACAAATTCGATTGTGCCACATAACAACAAAGCTCTCCCAAACAATTCAAATCAAATAAACCCA